GCTACACTTATCTATGGGTATATTGTTTTTTGTCTGCCCAGCATTCCGCCCCATGGAGCAAAGCTGGTCTCACCGATGTCCTATAGAACTTGCCCTTCAGCCTCATTAGTACGCAACGATCACATAAAATTTCAGTTGTACATCTCGACTTCACCCACCCAGCTCTAATTCTGTGAGTGACATCTTCCTCGATCTCTTCATTTTCCTGGATTATCGACCCAAGATATCGAAAGTGCATTTTTTTTTTGTACTTCATGGACGTCAATCTTAACTACTTCCTTGTCTCTACTCCTATTATTACTAAATTTGTACTCCATATACTTTGTCTTAGTCCGACTAATTTAAAACCTTTGGATTCTAGAGCATCCCTCCAAAGTTCTAACTTTGTGTTGACATCGTTTTGGGTCTCATCAATCAAAACTATGTCATCTATGAACAACATGCACTTTGATAGCATTATAAGGAAGTCATGATCTTCTGGCCATACCTAACTTGTAAATTGTTAAAATTGAGAGAGAAGTAGAGAGAGGAAGTAATATTCTAGCACCAGATTGTCTAACTATAGATGTATATTCACTCTATACAAATCATGGCGCATTTTATATATACACATCGATCCCTTATGGGAATTAAAATATAGGTCAACATGCATAGGAGTTATAGTAGGAAAATTAGTTAAAATACAACACACCAGTATTGTTGGAAACAAGGTTTAAAAAAAAATTGGATCAGTGACCTGAATCGGCCTCCCCAAAAACTGTGTCAGATTAGTGGATCAGCATGTCAGATCGGAGAATCGGTTGAATCAGTAAGTTTCGGCCCAAAACAATTCAAAAAATCACTAAAAATCTCTAAAAAAAGTGTTTTTGAGTTTTTTTAAAAACATTCGGGGTGTATATTATGTAGATTCATTATTTGCAAAAATATGTGAATATTGAGAAGTGATAAGTTGCTTCTTTGTTTGGATGTCTGTATAATTATTGATTATAATATAGTATTTGCTTCCTTGTTTGGATGTCTGTATAATTATTGATTATAATATAGTATTTGCTTCCTTGTTTGGATGTCTGTAAAATTATTGATTATAATATAGTATTATAATAGAACTTTCTTATTTTTATAAATAACTTTGAATCTATTAAATCACACACTCACAACCACCCGATTTAAAATTTTATGGAGTGATTGTGACCTCCTTGTGTTACAAGTAAATGGTCTCTTTGTATACAATAAGCCCCTAATGACCAAGATCGAAGGAGAACAACGAATGGCCTAGACATGTGAGTTAGTAGGATTTGGAGCGAAGTAGGGGACTGATGGAACCCAAATTTTGTGAACATGGTCTCAATGAGGTGCTTCAAAATAAAATTCATAAAAATTGAGGTAAAATGAGTCTGTTTTTGTGGCTTGTTCATTTCATCTTGACTATGTGACTTATTATAGATCCGGCGGGCTGGATTATGGAAAGCTAAAAATATTCTTTATGGAAAGAACTAAAAGCCTATTTGAAACATTGGACACTTTATTTTTGTCCCACAGAAGAAACGTGGGAGGAAAAAGCGGTACAAAAGGAGTTCAACCCAACCGTTAATTGCCAATAAGAGTAGGGGTACCCAAGGCTACGTTTGTGCTTTAATGAGTGCACCACATGTTGGTGTGCCAAGGGGGCTACTTATGACCTTTGATGAGGCAATAAATGTGTCAAGGGTACTGGTGGGGGCCACCCTTGCAAATCTTTAATTAAAAAAGTTGGAAAAAGTTAATGAAGCATTAGAACCAATTGGGGCGTTCGGTTT